TTTTTAAGAATCTTTGTACTCTTTTTCATAATGGYTGCACCATTTTATATTTCTACTAATAGTGTGAAAAGGATCAACATCCCCACATTCAAACCAACACTTGTTATTCTCTGTTCCTTTGATAATGGCCATCTTGATGGGTGAGAGCTGATATCTCATTATAGTTTGGATTTGCATTTCCCTAATGATTAGTTGATGTTGAGCATCCTTTCACATATTTATTATTCATTTATATATCTTCTTTGGATAAAAATCTATTTAACTCTTTTACTCATTTTTGAATCTTGTTGCTGTTTGGGATCTGGAATGTACCTGTAAAACCCACGTGTTAAAGTCTTGGCGTCTGGCCCAAGGTGCTATTAGGAAATGGTGGAATCCTTAGGAGGTGCAACTTAGTGGGAGGCAGTTATGTCACTTGGGTAGTGTCTTTGAAGGGGATATTGGAGCCCTTGCCCCTCTTCTTCTTTGCCTACTGGCTGCCATGGGGTAAGAAGCTTTCTCCACCACATGCTCCTCGCCATGATGTACTACCTTGTTATAGGCCCAAAGACAATGTGGCCAAGTGACCATGAATTAAAACTTCTAAAATCAAGAGCCAAGATAAACCTTTCCTTCTCTAAGTAATTTTTTTCCAGGTATTTGTTTTAACTACAAAGACTGACTAACACATTGGTCATTTGTTTCTTGTACTTTTTGAGTTGTAGACATTCTTTACATATTTCAGATTGTAACCCCTTATCAGATATAATATTTCTAATTATTTTCTCTCATTTTAAAGGTTGTCTTTTAATTCATTGAAATTGTAGATCCATTGAATTGGTAGATCCATTGAATTAGTAGATCCATTGAATTAGTAGATCCATTGAATTGGTAGATCCATTGAATTTGTAGATCACTTCTGGACATTTTAACAAGATTAAGCCTTCCAATCCACAAGCATTGGATGGTTTTCTATTTATTTGTATGTTCTTTGATTTCTTTTAACAGTGTTTTTTAGTTTTAAGTTTACAAGTCTTTCATCTCTTTAAGTTCATTTCTAAGTATTTTAACTTTTTTGATCTTATAATATATGGTTGGTATTCTTTTCTTCATTTATTTTTCAGATTGGACATTGTGTGTAAAAATGTTACTGATTTTAAGTGTTGATTTTGTATTTGAAATTTTGTTGAATCCATTTATTAGTTCCAAGAAGTACTTTGAAGAACCTTTGTGGTTTTCTAAATATAAGGTCATGTCATCTGTGAATAGAGATAATTTCATCTTTTTCTAATTGTATGCCCTTTCTTTCTTTTTTTTTTTTGTCTAATTGCTTTTGCTAGAATTTCCAATACTATATTGAATAACATTGGTGAAAGTGACATCTTCATCTTGTTCCTGATACTAGAGAAAAAGTGATTTTTTTGTTCCATTAAATGTGGTGTTATTTGAAGTTTTCTCATATTTGGCATTTATTAAATTAGTTTCCTCTTATTCTCAGTTTGTTGAATGGTGTGTGTGTGTGTGTGTGTGTGTAAAACAATGTTAAATTTCATCGAATGCTTTTTCTGCACCAACTGAAATGAATTGTGTAGTATTTGTCTTTCATTTTATTAATATGGTACCTTACACTGATTGATTTTTGTATGTTRAATCATTTTTATATTCCTGGTACAAATTCTAATTTCTTATGGTATATGATCCTTTTAATGTGTTATTGAATTCACTTTCCTGGTATACTTTTGAAGGTTTTGCATCTATGCTCCTTGGGGAATTGGCCTGTAGTTTTCTTTTCTTGTAGTGTCCTTGTCTGATTTTGGTRTTAGGATAGTGTCCTCATAAAATCAATGTAGGAATGTTTCTTCATCTTCTACTATTTGGAAAAAATTAAAAAGGATTGGTATTAATTTTTCTTTAAATGTTTGAGAGAGTTCTCCATTGAAGCCATCTTATTCTGGCCTTTTCTTTGTTGGGAGAGTTTTAATTTCAGTGTCTTCCTGGTTGTAATTTTGTTCAAACATTTTACTTCTTCATAGTTTGGTGTTAGTATGCTTCAGGAATTTATCATTTACTATAAGTTATATAATTTGTTAGTACTTAATTGCTCCAAGGAGTCTYTTATAATCCTTTTTATTTCTGTGACATCAGTTGTATTGTCCTCTTTTCCATTTTTTATTTTAGCTACTTGAATCTCCTCTATTCTCTCTTTGTAATCTAGCAAAGGTTTGTTCATGTTTCTTTTTTTATCTTTAAAAAAAAACTGTTTTAGCTTATTGATTGTTTTCTATTGTATTTATATTCTGTTTCTTTAGCTCTACCCCAATCATTATTATTTCCTTCCTTTTGCTGACAGTGGATTTAGTTTGTTCCTTTTCTCATTCCTTGAAATGTAAAGTTGGGTGATTGACACACAATCTTTTTTGTTTCTTTCTCTAATAAGTCATGTACTACTATGTATCCCCTCCCCTTTCAGTATTTCTTTCACTGCAAATCATAAATTTTGGTATGTTATGTGTTGGTTTTCATTTGTCTCTAGATATAATTTCTATATCTCCTTGTGTTTTCTCCCTTGATTKTTTAAGAGTATATTTTTAAATTTCTACATATTTTTGGATTTTTCCTTCTGCTATTGGTTTCTAGCTTTATTTCACTCCACTGTGCATAAATTGTTTTTGAAGGAGGCTTTATAATAATAGAAAAAACATATCTATGATTTSAAGTTACTTTCTCATATCTTGTATGTTAACAACCTAGTCAACATGTGTTCTAATATAAAACTATCATTTCAAGGACAAAATATTAAGATTTTTAGACACCAGGGTTTTTTAAAAGAATGAATAAGAAGTAAACAACTTAAAAATCAGAAATTTGACAATTACCAATATCTGATGACTTTTTGTGTGTGTGGATTAAATTTTATTTTAGAATCATTTGTCACATATAAGTATATTTAGTATCAAATAAGATAATATATAATAGACAAAATGTGATTTTAAATAAGTAGACCTCATTATTTTTACAGAAATATATAGACTTAAACTTGAAGTTTCATTTAGGTATCTATGGAATATAAAGTTTGTTATTATTACAAATAGAAGATAGAGTTTTGATGTGAGAAACTGCAAAGATAATTTGCTAGAAAATTACACAGAAGTAATAACATCAAGTGAAGGTGTTACATTTTAAAGGGTACTACCTGAAAACTATTGATTATTAATTACAAAGGAAAATTTTAAATGAACAATTTAATGACATTTTTACTCACAATTATAAACAATTATAAACTATTACTGTTTTTATTTTTTGAAACATACCCTAATACCACCATCAAACTTTAAAAGACTGTCTAGAGAACAATGCAAGCATATATTGTGCTGTCTATACAATGCCACTAGCTGCATGCGGTTATTGAATGCTTGAAATATGACTAGTGGAATTGAAAAAAGTGACTTTTAATTAAATTAAATTTAAATTTAAACAATCACATTTGACCAATGCCTGTTATATTGTATAGGGAAATTCTAGAAGAAGAAAAGTCACAGACCCTCATTATTCTGGGCTGAATTAAATCACAGCATTCAATTTGTTAAGGTAAGAAATGGGGTGGAAGGCATACAGACTAATGTAGGCAAACTTCAGTGCACTTGAAGAGTAATGGTAAGAAAACTAGAAACTGTGTCATAGAAAAACTGGGCTGAAGGAATTTGAGGAGACCAGAGCATGAAAATGATAATTCACATAAGCAATTAATGATGCAATGGTTGGAAGTAATTAGATATTTAAAAATATCCTGTAGGAAGAATTAGAGCTAATGGGTAGCTCAATACAGGGAACACATTTTTTTTTTTAATATGAGTTCCCTTATTTAGAGTCTAGTCTTAGGCTGTACAACTTGGGCTTTGTCCTGATGGTATAGCATTACAGTGCTACTTCCTTCCACTTAGAAACACAATTCAAACTGGAAACTTGGTAATAATATTCCAAATTTTTAGAAGTAGAGTATATAAATGGAAAGGGTAGATCCTATTATGATTAGAGGAATATTTAGAGAGAAATCTTATGAAGTGATATGAGGACCTCTAGAGGGGATACCATATCACACTATCGCAGTCAGCAAGTACTAGGGTTTCAGAAATATACTCTTTCATAATACTAAGTTGGTTTCTTTCAATGAACGTGTGGGTTTGAGATTGTGATCCATGAGTCTTAATGAAATCTAGAGGACAATTGGTTACAAAAGTTCAAGTAATTTTTCTAAGCAAGAAGACATTTTTTTGAGGCCATTAAGCTTTCTCCTATAAATCACATGTTTTTTTTTTTAAATTTGAATCATTTAGACTGTGCATTCTGGCTTATACATTTCTTAGATGATGATGATTGTCTGTTTATATATCAGGCTCAGCATTGGGTTTCCAGGCCTTTAAATTAATTTTCCTCTTCACAGTAGCACTATTCACAATGGCCAATTGGTAAAAACAACCCAAATGTCCATCAACAGATGAATGGATAAATAAAATGTGGTATATACATGCAAGGGAATAACATTCATTCTTTTAAAAGAAGAAAATTCTAATACATGCTACAGTAAGGATAAATCTTAAAGATACTGTGCTAAGAGAAATAAGCCAGACACAAAATGACAGATATTTTAGGATTACATTTGTATAAGACATCTAGAGCAGCCAAATTTATAGAGACAGAAAGTGCTATGGCAGTTGCCAGGGGTTGGATGTAGGGCAGAACAGGGTGTTATTGTTCTATAGGTACAGAGTTTCTGTTTGGAATAATGAAAATTCTCTGAAGATGGGTCACAATGATGATTGCATAAAATTGTGGATGCACTTAACATCACTGAACTGCATACTTAAAAATATTTGAAATGGTAAATGTATACTTACCTACCATTTAATTTCTTTTACATTTGGTTTCTCCATGACTTCAATTGTGCTAAACTATCCTTGCAGTATGTATGAGATCATCTCTAGAGAATGGCTAGGATTGTTGTTTTTTTCTGTATTTTTCCTCTAGCAAATGTAGTTTAAAAACATGCCAATCTGATTTTCAATAACATAATCAGGTGGGTGGATATTATTAGTGGAATATGCAATTGTCATGTCCCAAGCATCAATAATACCCACATTGAGATCCACAAAAATATCCTTCATGATAAGATTCTGAATATAGCCATGAAAGTCACTAAACATCTCAGTATTTTCATGTATCTCCCTGGTGTTTTCAGTTTTAAGAATCACTTTGGTCCCTGGGCTTCTCAAAAATAAACGTTTAATGGCTTTTTGAATATTGATGGCCCTACGGATAAAAATGTTGATGGGAAAGGGTCTGAAGTGTTGGCCAAGGGTAATGACAATTACCATGTCAATGTCCCCTGGCACTTGGTCAATTTCCTRTTGGATATACTTTTCATTTCTCACAGAGTACAGCCTTTCAGTAACAAATGGATGACTATGTTTTTTCCACTGAATCAAGATTTTTCTTTCGATATCCAGAAGAACATGTGTTTTAAAGAACCCGGTTCCTRGATGATCAAAATATTTTAAGGCTGATGGAAAAAAAATCAATAAATCTTTTAACAAAAGGAAAATGTACAACTTAAAAATGCATACAGCTTCTATAAAATCTAACCAAGATCTTTTCTAACTAGAGAATTGCCGTTTAGGCAAGGTAGAGAAGTTTATCAGATGCATCACAATTTTAACAAAGTTTTTGAACTTTTTAATCAGCATACATGAAGAGGAAAAATAGTGTTAATATCTGTAATTAAAAAAATAAGATTTAACTCTCTATTAAAAACTCAAAGCCAAAAATTTGGCAAACTTCACATAGTAACAAAACAAAGACCAGAAGAGGAAAGCAAAGTATTCTAATTATTATTTTTAAAATATTCTTAAAAGTGAACTATAATTTTAAAATAGAAAGGAAACACATACTTTTCACAACTTTTAGAAAATAATTCATCCACTGACGCAGTGTTGAGTCTCCCAGGAGGTAAATAAATTTCATTTTCAAGCAGTCACTTATATCTTGCATTGTATTGAACTTGATCTGTTTGCAAAATGCTGAAATCCAACTCCTCTCCAACGTGTAACCACTGGGGGAGGGATTCTTCATTCCAATCTGACATTTCTTTTTTATGTTTTCACTCTCTGGCAATAAAAATTCCCATAGTAAGTAACTTTTATGACCACAAATTATTTGGGAAATACTTTGCTCACTTTTTGCCCTTTGTTTCCTGTTCTCCTCTCACCCTCTTTTTGTCTCTCTGCCTTCTTTTCTTCAATGAAATCATTTTAAAGGAATAAATTAATAGCTCTCATTGCATAGTTTTTCTTGGAGTGAGGTCAGTTTTCTCTTGTGCCTTAGTAATGGCTCCGTGGGCTCCACCTTTCCCACCAAGACCACTCAACTGTTAGATGGTTAACAAAAGTCAGGGTGAAATGCGTGAGAGTAAAACAGCAGGGCTCAGTGGTCCAGCTGAATATTTCACCCAGGACATTGTCCTTGCTGATAAGACTCCTTCTCGTCAAACCACTTACCCATGAAAGAACCATGAACACATTTATGAAATGAGAGTCACACATTGTTTATTTTGTGGGTCCCAGAATCATATTCTCTGGTTAACCAATAAACCTTGATGTCTAATTATATCTCAAACTGAACATAATATTCTCAATCGGGTCTGACTAAAACAGAAAAACAAGCAGGGCCATGACTTCCTTGTTCTGTTTAAATAGCCCAAACTGTATTCAACTCACACTGTACCTTCACTCCAGTAAGATTCTGAGACCGCTTCTATATTTGCTACCTAAAAGCATATCTTTGTCATCTGCTTACATTGTTGGGATTTGAGGTCTAAGTTTAGGAATTTACATTTATTCAATTTGAATTACATCAGATTTTTTTTTGGGGGGGGCTCCAAACAATATCAGTCAGTTACTATCTTCTAAGAAATTGCCTGACCTTAGTAGAAATTATTGTCCAGGCAAGATGGAAGTCTAAAAAAAAAAAAAAAGTGTAACGAGAACTTGAGTGGCTCAAGAGTCTCAGAACTCTCCTTGATATAAAAGTTGGGCATAGATGACAGTTGCTTAGGCAGAGGAAGGATCTTTTTCACAGACTGTGAACATTAGGTCTAGGTCCAAGGTGTTTGGCAGAGATCTTTGCAAGTTCTAGATTCCCAATAAACATTTGCTGAATGCACACACACAAAAAAGGTAATTGGTAAATGTGTAACTGTTAATTGTTATAATGGAAGTCATTTGCTTCACTGAAATTCACTTTACTTCCAGTATAACAAGAACATCATTTTACGAATGAGATGACTTTGAGATGACTGTGAAAGTTCATGTGATAAAATTGGAAAACAAAACACAGAAATTGCTAGTTCATAGAATGTTAAGTGAGAAGGTCTGACTGAAAATCAAATTAGAATCCATCAGAGAAATTTCCTAACTGTGAATGTGTGCATCTCGTCAACGATGTTTTCATATAGCACTAGCACTCAACTAYTGGTTTGGAGGGAATAAACCTCAAGTTCAAATACCAATGGTCTGTATATTTTGAGACAGGGCAACTGAAATCAATGGTTTCCCCAGACTTTTCCAGCTGACTCAGGATGAAAATTGGTTTACATTGACATGAAAATAATTTGTAGGAAGAAAATTCCTTCTTTAAAGACTAAGGTGATTGATATCATTTGACCCAGGAAATAAAATATCAAAATGGTGAATGTAGAATAAATGTGTCAAAGAAAGAAAGTCCTTTAGAGGGGTAAATTGTGAATCTGGCAGTCAAGAGCACACAAACTTACTGTTACATGGCAACACCTTGATGGAGTTGAAGTTCTTCATCATTTCAACTCCTATTTTGGAACTTCAAGAAATGAAAAAATAAGTTAACATCTGTCCAGATATTAAAGTAAGAAAGAATCACGGTTTTGGATGGATTGAACCACTCTTAACTCTCTGCAAATGCTTATTTTTTTTTTCATTATTTTGATATTTAAGATATTCTGGGTGAAGTAAATGGGTCAGAAGTTTGAAAAACTTTAGAATTTGTGATTTGCCCTCCAAATGCAATAAATTAAACCTACCTATCTGACCATCCTTTGATTTTTGTCTTTGGGGTGGTTCTCTACCACAAGCAATCTTCTTCACCTTTGCCAAGTGTGGTAATTCAGGCCCTCCTCAATCTTTCACTAGACCAGTGTTTCTCAAACACACATCAAAATTACCTGAAGTACTTACTGCCAATCAGATTACTGAACCTCAACCCCAGAATTTCCGATTCAGTACTTCTGAGGTAAACCTCAGAATTTATCATTCTAACAAGGTCTTGAAGGTCAAGCTATGGGTCCAGGGCCATTACTTTGAAAACCCTGTCCTAAATCTTATCTTTGGGCTCCTTTGGTTTGGCTCAACCTCTCAGCTACCTGTCTTATTCTCCTATGTGAATCTTTCATAATCTTTCACCATCATCACTCAGGATAAGAACCACTAGCATGCCACCTCCTATGAGTGTCTACTTTTCTAGTTTCACCTGCAGCCATTCCTCACCTTCTCAGGAGTCTATTTTCCTTAGCCTGTTATCTCCTTGACAGCAGGAACCATGTTACTCTATCATTCACTGTAACCTTCCAAGTGGCCAGCACAGAAAGTGTCACCTCCAGGTATCAGTCTTAACAGATATGCTGGTGAATCTATGTGATAAAATCAAATTCATTCTATGAGGATAAAAACCATTGGGGGAAGGTAGAACTTTTAGAACAGAGTCACAGGAACCTCCAGGAAATATAAGGAATATTTTCCAAGACTGAGGACAACTGCTTGAATTTTAGGAAAGCAGTTTTAGATCAACTGAATAATATAACCCCCTCTGAAGGGGGCCATACTCTGGAGAAATGAGAGGCCCCAGGGGCTAGGGAATGATAACTTCATGGTGGTGGAAACCCTGGGAGACAGTGCTATGGTCCCCTGACTTGAAAAATAAAGTAGATTGGGGTTCCGAATACTACTCTGCAACTCACTAGATATGTGACTTTGGCTAAGCTATTTAACATACTTGTCCTTAAATTTCCTTGTCTGTAAAATGGGCACAATAACAGTCACTTAAGAATATTTTTCTGAGGATCATTAATATGAGAGAGGCATCTAGCTCAAAGACTGACACATAGTAGGTGTTCAAAAATGATTATAAAAAATGGAAACTGATCAAATATTCTTCTTCATCTGCCTTGGATAAGGTTGAAGATAATGAAAGAGACCAAATCCTGATAACCTTGTAAATTTGGTCACTAAAACCAAACTTTGATGATTAGGATTAAAAATACRTATCAATGGTATGAAGGCATTCAGTTTAATGTCTTCTGTCTTTGTGATTGTGTACATATATCATGTTTTAGAAAGAAGTCTATAAGACCATAATAGTAACCATGAGACTTGTGAAATGTGTTGTCTATAATGTTATCTCCTCCTGTTGTAACTCTATGTTTGTTTTCTTATCATGAGTATCCATAAAACTCTGTTCAAAAGAAAAAGACTTGGCCTGGGGTTGTGGCTCAGCAGTATTACGCTCACCTAGCATGTGGGAAGCCCTGGGTCCAATCCTCAGCATCACATATAAATAAACAAAATAAAGGTATTGTGTCCACCTACAACTAAAAAAAAATTAAAGAAAAAGACTCTTATCTTTGAAAATGTGACTAACTGAGGAGGTAGCATCTCTGATTCTACAGTTAGGGTTGGAAGAGAGAGCCCTAGTAAAGAAATTGATTTACTAGAAAGGAAAGGAAAACAGGCTTAGTACCTAGATTCTTGGCAAAGAAGGACACCAGAGAACTTGGATTGGGCCCAAGAAGGGGGCAACAGAAAGGTCCATGAGAAGTTCTTGGTTGTGTAAGCTTGTGTGAAGCCAACTGTGTCTTGCATATGCACTAAGCACTCATGAAGAGACTCCGATTTCTACTTTCATGCAGTGGGGTGGCGGGTATGGAAACTGACAGCTTGAAGAGAGCAGGGTATCTGGGAAGGAAATGTATCTCTTGGGAAGTAAAGCATGTTACTGTCATGAGTACAGCTCACTTCAAAAGCATGATTAGGACTTAAAAGATTTGCAGATCTTCCAGAGCAGGACTTTGGCTGAGATACAGCTAGAAGACTGTGGTTCTTCCAACTCAAGTTACGATGAGGAGTACCTCAAGMGAGATCCAGCTACATCCAATGGGAAATATGGAATCAGACCCAAGTGAYCCCTGCCTACCCTGAGAGTCCTTTATATTCATGGCCAGTTTCCTTTGTTTATTAATTTAAAAAATTATTTGAAAAGATCAGTCTTTTTTTTTTTTGACTGAGCCATAGGATAAAGAGATTTTTCTCTACCTTAATGGGTAAAATGAGAATCGAAGATGAGGTAGTGTTGAGGGAAAATCTCATAGAGATGTAGTCAATTATATTTGACCCCCTGTGTCATCATGAGGTGTGCATTGGATTTTAACTTGAATTTCCAGGTTATTATTCTATTCAGTWTGCTCTTCTGAACATATAACAGAAAACCAAGGCTTTTATATAGCAGGTAGTTCCTGAGTGATGTAACTAAAATCCCTCAAATTGATCCAAAAAATAAGTGTTCTGCCATCCAATAAGTTTGGGAAATGATCTATCTCTTCAGGATATTTAAGTTAAAGTTTCTGATGAGTTCTTCTGCAAAATAACCTAATTTAATAATTTTTCAAAGATGTATATTTCACTTATTCCTTCTTTCAATGCACCATTAATGAGAATCTTCTTGGTGTCATTTTGCTGGGCCTGTGAGACATATTGATGGCCCTCCATGGCTTCCTGATACCCAGAGATGGCCTGAGGTTCTGCCTCCCTTGCAGATGGTTCCTGGAACATTCCAGCATGTTCTTGTCTCAGGTCCTATTTCTATTCATGAAAATGGTATTTCCCACAAAATTTGCACACCTTGCTCTTTCATTTCAGGTTACTACTTAATCAAGCCTTATCTGATCATTATGTTTTAGAACAATTATCAACCATCACATTCAAATTCCTTATTTTGATGACTCACCTGCTACAAATTTATTTATTTGTTGTCTTTCTATCCCACTAGAAGGTTAATTTCCCACACTTAGAACTTTGTCTAGAATACAGAAGGGGATGACTATAAATTGAATGGATGATTAAATGAATGAGTGAAAGAATGTGAAAATAATTAACAATTATTGAATCTCAAAGTTTATATTTAGCTCAATTTGTAAAAAGAGAATTGAAATTTTAATAGTGTAATACATGTTATGTTGTGAAAGAAAAAAAATGCAAGAGAATAATATAGGGTTAGCCCTTTACTCTGTAATACAAAAGGCTTCCTGGAGGATGTGCTTCCTAAACCAAGGATTGTGAAGTGCAAGAGATGAGAGACAGTGTATTCATTCATAAAAGGTGACTGACAGCAATGCAGYATAGAGTGAGACAAGAGGTTGCAGAATTAGGCAAATTCTTGTAAACTTAGTTTGAATTTTATCCTTGATTCCAGGTGGGATGTGGAGGGGGTCACATTAAGGGTTTTAAACAAGGAAAGTAAAAACATTTTCATTTTGGAAACACTAGTTAGAAAATAGATTGAAGGACCTGATTGGGAGCAGAGAAACCAGCTCTGGAGATTGTTGCAATAATCTAATTTTCAGGTACTTTGACAGCTTAAACAAGCATAGAGGCAACAGTGATAAAACAGAAATGACTGGGTTCAGGAGACGGTTAAGAGGTACAATTTACAGAATTTGATGAGTCATTGGATTAAAGGATAAAGTGAAATAATGATAATATTCACCTTTTTGGGACATGGTATATGTTAATAGTGAGTAGGATTTGTATTCCATGAAACACAGTATAGAAAATATTGACTTACAAAAAATGACTAAATCTGAAAGTATTTATAAACACTGGAAAACAGTAAGTATACACGGTGCAGGGTACTTTGGTGGTTAGACTCCTTTTAGCAAATAGTTCTAGAGGTGACCTGTAAAAGTCCTTTAAACACACTACCAGATGAGCTGACTATGCAGGATGGATCTGATTATAATTTAGTCAACATCCATTGACATGATAAAGGAGCTTGATCCCACAAAGCTATTAGACAAAATTTGTTCTCACCTGAAGCCTACCTTTGCTATCCCTTATTGTATTTAAAGACCTGTTTACCTGTGGAAGAGCTTCCATTCTTCCTTGGTAAGATAGGAAACTTTTCTATTCTTGGTGTTCATGAGAGTCAGGGCCTCACAGGGAACATGCTGAGGCCTCAGGCAGTAGAAGGCTTCCTGGTCTCGCACATCCAGGTACTGGCACAACTCAGCAGTGGTGTTTAGGACCAGGCCACATTCAGAGAGGACCAGGGTGGTGCCATTAGCAAACTGGCCTGTGAAGATCACTCTGTCATAGCCTTGGTTCCTTGCCCTCCAGAGAGCTGACACCCCTTCACTGGGGTGGATGAGCAGGAGAGACAGGGAGACCTGGCCCTCCCAGAACAGAGTGAAGCTGACAAGGTAGGTGCCATTGTGGAAGTCYRTCACCTTTCCTGARGCDCCTGCYTTCAGGGCTGGGGAGGACATCCTGGCCCTSARRAAGTCCCCTCCATATTCCTTCCTGCGTCCCAGGTGGTCCCTGGCCTCCAGCAGRATRTCCAGCTGGTCCCCCCTGCAGTAKGTGTCTCTAGGGTTGAGGAKGRTGACTGTGCTGTGTGTGGCACTGGTGGTGGTGTCCTCATGGGTGAAGGGTCTGGGTGGGATCAGCTGGTCTAGTTTCCCCAGGATCTCCTTTATTCTCAGCTCAGTCTCTGTAGGTGAAGTTTCCCTTTGTTTCTTGGCAATATGGTTTCTCAAACTGAACGAAAACTGAAGGATTGAGGGGAAAGGATATATTTACTACCAACAGATAATAGGGCTTGCTTTTCAATATAAATTAGCATGATTCATTTTATAAATTTCTGCATGATTAAGTTACATATCAGTGATGAATTCAAACTAGTTTTCAGTCATGAAATTATAGGAATTGATTTCCAGGTAGTGTGACTTACTCTGCTGCCCAACAGATGATTTCTTTTGGGGGTCATTGGCTTATAAAGTAACTTAGGTCTGTTTATTCTACAATATATAGAAGCAACATCTCCACTTACATCACTATAATGGACCTAGACCTAGACTACTCATAGCTAACTTTATCTTCTCTCCTCCAAATATATTTCTCCCCGTGTGGTAGGAGAACTTCAATAAATGGCATCACCAGCCAAGCAGTTGTACAAACCTGGAATATAATGCCTGGTTAGCCCCATCTCCTCCCCTCCCATAGTCAGTATCTAGCTGTCAATTCCATGTTAAAGTCATTGACTTTTCTTCCTCTTTATTATTAGGACCTTATTTCAAGTCACCATTACCTCTCAGATCAGATCTCCAAACAGTCTTTCTTTACTTAGTTATTTATCATTCATTAAGCATCTACAGTATGCCAGATACTGTTCTGAGCACTGGATATACCAATGAATTAATAATATCAAAATCCTTGCCTTCTGGGAAAAAAAGATAGACAATAATCAATGAACACTATCAATCAATCAATTGATTATATAGTATAGTGAAAGTGAAAAGTATTGCAACATAAGAAGTCAAGCAGAATAAGAAGAATGCAAAGAGGTTGTATTAAGGCTGATTCTAGCATTAAATAAAAAGGTGTACTAAATGGTTGGAAGGAGGAGAAACTGGAAGCAAGATCAGTTAAGAAAAACTGCAGAAAAGGGAAATTTGAGAAACGTTAACTGGGCTACTCAGAAAATAATACAAAAAATTAAAACCCTGAGATGAAGATAGAGGACTGAAATAGAGATTTAATTGAATTAGAATCTCCAAGGCCAAGGGAGGAGAGAACCTTGAGGTGGGATGCTTGGCAGTGCCAAGTGGTACAGAGATTCACCTGTCTCCAAAACAAACAATAATAGGGCATATATTGTCAAAGGACTAATGCTGAACAGAGAACCCTCTCCTCCACATT